TCTCTCTCTCTCTCTCTCTCTCTCTCTCTCTCTCTCTGTGTGTCTACTCTGTGTGTGTGTGTGTGTGTCTACTCTGAATGTGCGCGCTGTTGCCCTCCCTGGGCGCCGACTCTGGCCAGCATAACGCTGCTCCGCGCTAAGTGCACCATCTGCTCCTCATGCACAAGTCGCCTGCAGTGCTTCCACAAAGTCGCGAGTGAACAACTGATGAGGCACTGCACTGTAGAAGCCGAAATATAGAACTGGACTCGCTGCTTGTGCCTCTAGGCCAGTACCTTGGCCTTGCGAAAATGCCTCCTATGTCGCTGGTCCGGTCTGGCCTCGTTTCGGTTGGGCCGGTTGCTGCAAAATTGGATATTTGGGGCTGGCCTACAGACCTACCCCTACCGGACTGGACTTTTGACCCCTCGGCCTACCTCTAGACCTAGGACCTATTTACGGACCCTGGGGCACTACCGGGACCATCTGTGACTCCGGGACTCTGGAACTTCGGGATTCTGGGACTTTGGGGCCAAGACTGCGGTATCTGTGTTTTTGGACCCTGAGGCTCAGACTCAGCTGCCAGCCTGGGGACTTTGAGACCTTGGGACCGGGACTGTGGCATCTGTGCACCGTGAAGCCTTTCACTTCTATTGGGTGCCGATGCTGTGGGCCTGTGGCCACAGTTCTCTTTCTCTGTGCTGACATGCAGTTGATCTTTGGTGGTATGGTGGAGGAAGGTAAGTCATGGTAATCGTGTTGGCGACCATGTCATGGATTCTTAGAGATGGTCTTTTTGTGAGCCATGGAATGCAAGTGCATCATTGTGAACATGGCAATTGCAGTGAAACAAACGGTGGTCATGATGAACGACGATCGAGAGTGGGATGGTGACCGCAGTGATTGCAATTATTGTCTCTGTGGTAGTCATGAAACTTGTACAATGACAAGCCACGGGCATGATAATGGTTGTCATCAAATCGATTCGTCTGTTAGAAACCGCGACAATGACCATTCATCAGACTATAGTGGAAACCATGGCCATCTCTTTGTGTCGCAACCTGAAAACAAGAACTGCGAAGACGACAATTGTCGTTTTGCAACCTGAAACAAGAACCACAAAGACAACGATTGCCAATCTCCTGTGCGATGACAAAAGCACAGCTGCAATGATCTCATTGCCAACTGAAAACTGTTTGTTCTTTCACCACATAGACACATTCCCACTGGGTATCTCATGCTTTGGACAAGAAAATGGGTTGGTCCTTGAACAGATGCGAGGTCTTCTCCTTTCCAGGGCATGTTCTGCCCCTTATCACCTTCGTAGCGTACTAAAAAATTCCTGTTCAACTTGAAGCCACACTTCTGAAAGATTGCCCCTTGGGCTTCACTGAATCTGGCACCCCGTGCAGGTTAGGGCTCACGGTTGAGAGCAGTGCATTACATATCTTTTGCTGCTCACGGTTGAATTGAGTGCTTTGGGTATATTGTGCTGTGGATGTACTCTAGGAAAAGCCAAAAGTCAAGTTCTGACAGTGTGCCCTGGTTGCGTATGGCGTGTTACTGATGTCGAAGGGGAAAGGGCAAAACCTTAGTGTTCCCAACTCAGGGTCAAGATTAGGGTCGGATGAGCCTTCAGGCTTAGGGTTGGTCTCGGCATCTTAGGTAGAGGGAGGTGTTTGGGAAAGTCATGACATGTGGGAACTCTCTCGCTTTTCCTGCATCACCACATTGCTATTCTGCTTGGCTGCTCATATCTGTTGCATTTGTGTTGTTTCATGTCAATCAGTTCCCAGACTTTGTTACTCCGGAGGCCAGAGCCGTCATCGAGGCATGTAGTTCTGGACCTTGATTCCATTGGTGGCCTTACTGAGATCAGCCTCACCCGCGCAATGGATGAGAACTTGGATGAACGGTTCACTCTGGGAGTGCAACTTGGCGGCACACAGAAGGAAATGGCACAGGACATCAGTGTGTCCCGCAATGTTAGACTTGCCCCAAGATATGTCGTTGTCAATGAAGGAAATGAACGACTTTATGTTTGCCAGGATGGCTTTCAGGTGAGCAATTTTCCTGCAAACTATCACACTCACATCCGCAGCTACAACAATAATTGTAGTTCCGATATGTGAGGGGTGGGTATCAAGTTGGTATCCAGGGCATCTGTTGCTCTGAGATGCCGATAGTTCGGTGGATCGATCAACAAGCAATTGTGCCCGTTGGTATTGCAGTATATGGGACGCTTGGGATTGTGTGTTGATCCAATGCAAAGCCACCAACGAGCGATCAGGACCGAACCGCAGGAGTTGGATGCCTGAACGTTCGAGGCCTTTGAACTCCTGCATCCCGTCCCACTACAGGCGGTTGGGTGGGATGCACACAGTCCGCATGGTGGGCTTCCAGTATCAACCGTCCATGTGCCACCCACTTTGTTGTAGGCAGTCGGCGTGTGTGTGTCAGTCGCCAATGCTTAGCAAACAAACGTACCTGCACTGCCCAGGAAAGCTGAACTGCCTTGCCACACAAAGACGTCTTCCTTGGGGCGGGCCCAGAAAAAAAAAGTCTTTCTTGGGGTTGTGGGAAAAAGGGGCTCTCCTAGGCCGCCTTGTTCCTGGGGTCGTGGGAAAAAGTTGTTGCTTGCGCAACTTTTGCTTTTGATTTTTTCATTTTTGGTTTCTCCTTCAGCTTGTTTCATTTATGCATTTGGGTCCTCTGTCCCCTACCCTTTTGTTGATGTCACAAGTGTCAGCCTCAATTGTGTTAGGTCTGTGATCGCGACTCGATTTCGTTGACACACACACACACACACACACACACACACACACACACACACACACACACACACACACACACACNACACACACACACACACACACACACACACACATGTTTCTTTCCTTCCCGTTGCCCCTACCTCCCCTGTCCCATACTCCTATAGAACTCCGCCTTCTATCCCTTACCCTCCACCCTCCCCTCCACTCCCTTTGTACTACTAACACATACATATGAATGAGCATCATTAAGAGAACAGACGATATGAAGATCAGAAATGAAATGAACGGAAGTATGAAGATGAAGGACTGACACAAAGACTGTATAAGCTGAAGATCTGAAGTGAAATGAACTGGAGTATGAAACTCCGAAGAGATGCACAGGAGCATACCTTCCCTTGTACTTTGCCTCCTGAAATAACTTGCAAGTGGGCCGTGTGAAAGGCCTTCCACGATTCAGACCCCAAATTCGGACCTCAGGGTCAGATGCCCAGGTCAAGAAAAAGCCAAGTTCGTCAAACTCAGAGAAGTCACAGTCGGGTACCTCAGCAGTCTGGTCTAACAGGCACCCAGCAAACAGTCACGTCTCAGGGACAAGAGTCACGTCTCATAATAAAAGCCATTCAGAAGAGTCACATCCCACGAGTGAAAAGGCAGATTCACCAAGCAAAGGTCATGCCTGAAAGGCAGGAGTCACGTTTCCTAGTGAAAAGTCATATTGAAGAGTCACATCCCACGAGTAAAAAGGTAGTATCACAGGCAAAAGTCGTGACCCACAGACAGGAGCCACTGTCCACAGTCAAAAGTCGTGTTCGCAAGTGAAATGTCACGACTCGTAGGCCCAAGCAGCAGCAGTCCAATGGAAATTCGGGAAGGTTCCAGGCCTTGACATTCAGAAGCAGACAGGCCGTGGGGATATGGTACCGGAACCAGTCAGGACCCAAGAAACAGAGCCTGGCAAGAGTTGAAGTGCAAACCAAGACTACAAAAGGACTGGCCGGCCTCACATTCGGGCAGATTGGAGAGAGAGAGAGAGGAAGACAGCGCTGGCACAGAGAAGGCAGCCATAGCTGCGCCAGCGCAGGGTGTTAGTGTTAGTATTTAGTAGTAGTCTTCAGAGAGTTAGTAGAGATAGCAGTGGGTGTATTCAGAGTAGATCCATGAAATAGTAGATAGTGACTGTGAATGCATGTAGGGAGAGAAGACACAGTGAGGTCATAGCTAGGGAGAAGACCAGCAAGGTGGAGAGATACATAAGAGGGAAGAGCAGAGGGGAAGAGATACTTACCTGAGAGTTTATGCTGATTATTGGTTACCTGAGAGAAGACAGTGGTCACAATAAAGGGTTACTCAGGATCAGGCAATTTAAGGACTTCGTAGTGTGTTAGGGCATAATTCAATTTCTTGAAGGCTGCCTCACACTCTTCTGTCCATCCCCCAGGGTTGTCAAGGCGTGTGAGGTCAGTTAATGGGGAGGTTAGTGTTGTAATTCTTCACAAACGGTCAATAGTAGCCTGTCATCCCCGAGAATGACCTGACCTCAGTCACAGACTGAGGTCTGGGCCAGTCACGTATGTTGGGCACTTTGGCATCAGTCGGCCTCAAACCGTTCGCGAAAATCTCATGCCCCAGGTACAAGATCTTGGTGCGACCAAACTCGCATTTCTCCAAGTTCCCCTTGTACTGGTGTTTGTCTAAGGAAACCTAGCACTGTTTTCACATGCTCAGCGTGCTCCTCTGCAGTCTTACTAAAGATAAGAATATCGTCGAGGTACACGACGATAAATTTGTCTAACTATTCATGAAAGATCTGGTTCATTGCGTGCTGGAATGTCCTAGGAGCGTCGCATAGACCAAAGGGCATCACCACAAACTCTTACAGACCGTACCTGGTTTGGAATGCGGTTTTGTGCTGGTCCTCAGGTCTAATGGCAATTTGATGGTATTCGGACTTCAGATCTATCTTTGTGAAGTACCGACATCCCTGCACTTTATCCAAGAGGTTGTCGATGTGGGGTAGGGGCTCCGCGTTCTTAACGGTGATGGCATCGAGGCCCCTATAGTCAATGCACATCCTTAAGGTGCCCCCCTTCTTAGGAACGAATAGGACTGGTGCACCATAAGGGGAGGTACTAGGCCGAATCCATCCCTTCTCTGTGAGCTCTTTGAGTTGGCGACGGAGCTCATCCAACTCCGCAGGAGACATCCTATAAATCCGTCCGCCAGGTACCTTGCTATCGGGGATGACTTCTATCGCATGGACAAGCTCCCTTTCTACCACGCCATAAGGTCAGGATATGGAGCAACGACTGCTTTTATCTCTGGGGGTGATTTTACGGCTTCCCCTTTCTCAGAGACAAAGACTAGGTACATGCCCTCCTCGCGATTTTGTTTATAATAGTTATAGAAAGGAGATGCACACATGCAGCCGTAGTTTTCGAGTAGACTGCTAGCTTTAAACTTTTGCAGTCTAACGGTTCTTCCATTAGGCAACTTGTGGATCATCACCTTTCTATCCCAGTCAAATTGGGGTTGAGCAACCTGGAGGTAGTACATGCCTAGCAGCATATTGAATTGCAGCAAGTCACTGACAAGGAACGGGATTTTATGTCTCAGTTCCCCTCCTCCATAGGAGAAGGTGCAGACTACGTCCTTGACGTAGTCTTGGACAACCCTATTGTGCTTGTTGGCTAGCGTAGATGCTACAAATCTGCTCAGCCACTGCACTTGGTCCCCTAAGTGCAGTCTATCCACACAAGCACGATTGATGAAGTTCTGTGTAGAGCCTATGTCTACGAAGGCGCCCACTTTGCGACAACATACATCAACCTCTACCACGAAATGTTCACCCCTAGGGCCTTTGCTGATCATCGCCCCCTGAGGTCCTTCCCTGACCACTCAGTTTGTAACTCTTCTAAGGACTCAGACACATCTCTCGAACAAAGCATCGGTGGGTCTAAATGTGTCTGCGAGGCGATAACTGAGTCAGTATCGTTGGCCAACGCCTGAAGTGGTGAAGGCAACATTACCACTTCAGCACGAGTAAGAGCGGCTAACATTCCTATTGGCTCGAGGTGTTTCCTTGTGAAGTGCTCGCAGAAGCACCAACAAGGTTCGAAGACAGGCCTATCACCGTAGGAGAGGCAACCTCGTTGTGACTTTCTTGCCTCGGCACATTGTAGACGTATGGCCATAATTGCCACACTTAAGACATGTCCTAGCTACTCGGTCCCTCCACACCTCGTAGTCTAAACCAAGTTTTACCCATGCGGGTGTTCCTTGGTCGCCTTGACCCTTGGACTGGCCTACCTTCTGCTTCTCAGTCCCCCTAGCCTTTTCTTTGATGGGCGCTACGACTCCCCCGTCCGAAGTCTCGCTAGCCCCATCCTTCTCTGTGTCTTCCCCATAGTCAGGGAAGTCGTCGATCTCAGTTGCCTGACCATCGTGGTCGACAAACATGAGATTGCCCTTCTTCCTCCAATCCTGGGGAAGTTTCTTCTTCCTACCATTTGCTGGTCCCTGACGAGTGATCCCAAGTTCAGCCTCTATATCTAAGGCTTTCTTGCTGAAGGTAGCGAAGTTATGCACATCGATGGAGGCCTCGTCCACCAACTTATTCTTCATGTCTGTAGGCAGACATCTCAGATAAGTTGTGAGGAGTACATGAGGGTCATATCGCACACGAGGCACATCAAATGTTCGACAACATCTGTGACTTCGCATACTCTCCGGTATCATTTGGAACCAAGACTGAACAGTGCGTCAGTGACCTTTTGAGCCCCTTGAGGATCATGCCACCTATTGTACACAGTCCGTACAAAGTCTTCCAATGTCCGGGCCTGGGCCTAGGCATTGAAGTTCTGACCATAGGCGTGTTGCTGCACTAGACCATTCAACCATCGCGTTGTAGAGCCCTCTAAAAAGGAGGCAGTGACTCTTAACTTCCTGCTCCAGCCTTGTGAGCTTGTGCCTGACATACGTAGGCACAGTCCTCACCCAAGTGTCCATGTCCTCATCCTTTTTCTTGTCCCTAGAGAAAGGTTTAGGACTCAGTAAGGGAATCTTGGGCATCCACTACATGGGTTGGATTGACCCTGGTGATTGCTGCAGTGGCTGCATAGCCACTGAGGCAGGTTGCTGCATGCTAACCTGAACCTGTCCTGATGATAGGACTGTAGCTGCCACCGTCATTGATGGTATGGGAGAAGTGCCACAAACCGGACCACTAACTGTTGCTAACCGCTTGAAGGAGGCATGCCAAACATAGGGGAAAAGAAGGGCCCTACCGG